GAATGGATCACCCAGGGCATAACCAGCCTCCACCTATGATGATGGTTGGTGGTGGAGGTCAATTACCATATGGTGCTAACCCGTACCAGTCTAATCAGATGCCTGGTAACCCGACTCCAGGATCAGTTGGATCCATGCAGTCTGTCAGTCAGGCTGCTGGAGCCCAGCTTGCGCAGCACCAACTCGCGTATCAGCACATTCAACAGCAGCAGCAACAGCAGCTCCAGCAGCAGCTCCAAACATTTTGGGCGAATCAGTACCAAGAAATCGAGAAGGTAAACGATTTCAAGAATCACAGCCTTCCCTTGGCGAGGATCAAGAAGATTATGAAGGCTGATGAGGATGTAAGAATGATATCTGCTGAGGCACCGGTCATATTTGCCAGGGCATGTGAGATGTTCATCTTGGAATTGACACTGCGATCTTGGAATCACACTGAAGAGAACAAAAGGAGGACATTACAGAAGAACGACATTGCAGCAGCGATTACCAGAACTGACATCTTTGATTTCTTGGTTGATATTGTGCCAAGAGAGGATCTTAAAGACGAAGTGGTTGCATCGATCCCAAGAGGCACTTTGCCTGTTGGAGGGCCTGCTGATACTCTCCCTTACTGTTATATGCCACCTCAGCATGCTCCTCAGGTGGGGGCTTCTGGGATGATGATGGGCAAGCCTATGATGGACCCGCCTATGTATGTGCAGCAGGCTCCCAACCCCTACATGGCTCAGCAAATGTGGCAGCAGCCTTCTGATCAACAGCAGTCATCCTCGGATCGTTAGTGGCAAAGCATGGGAGTTGAGAAGTGTAAGTTTGTTGTACTTTTATCTGCCACTGATTTGTGACTGAAATCTGGAAAAGGAAGTGGCTATTTCATCATGTCATTGCAGGGGAATATGTAACCTTTTGGCTTGAAAACTAGTGTTGTTCTACTTTTACGGATTTACGTTGTGAAGCATTTGGATAGTTATGATCTAGGTAGCAAAAGTTGGTTTGACTGGTTGTACTGACATGATATACGTTGCTTTAATTTGAAAAACTATGTCGTTAATGGTTTCCTTGTGTGC